ATTCACATGTGATTTTATTTTATTCCTTTCAGACAGAGCCAATTTAAAAGTATATTCAGCTACTTTCAATGTATAAGCACAAAAGGATTCAATTGCTTGTCTACTGGTTTAATTAAAAAAAAAACAAACTGTATGAAACACAAAAAGGCAGGCAAATGGGGACTTACAGCTAGACTGTTCATAAATACTTAACATTGAAACCAATCACTTGTTTCACTGATGTTGAAAATAAAAATGTATTTTCAGAATACAGTCTAAATTTAAGAACCAACAGGAGATGTTGTATTTCTGAGGAATCAAAGCCAATTCATTTCCTTAAAAAAAAAAAAGTTCTAAACAAATAGAAAAAATTAAATAACGACTGAGGAAAGATGAGCTTTGATATGAACATTAATATTTACTATTTTTAACTAACATTAACTAAAGTCAGTAAAAAATAAAATGATTTTCAATTTTAACTATTTTATTTTTCCATTTTGTTATAAACCACCATATAAAAAGAATCAGCATGAGGCTTCTTTTTAGCACAAGTTTACTTAGGTTTGTAATATCATAACCAGGAAAGAAGAAAATACAGTGAGTTTAAAAACACCCTTGAGCCACAAAATTAAATATATTAAAAGATTTGAAGAAGGATGATGGCAGAAAATAAATGCAATCCTTTATTTCAAAGTTCCATAGGTTTCCGTCTTAGAAGAGTATAGTATATTGATCCTTTTGCTGGGGTATGGTCAACATATTAAACCAAATGTGGGTTGGGACTGTTTGCATGGTATATGTAAGTCTAAATAAAGCGTGTTACTGCTGGCATCTGTTATCACTTTAATAGTTTGGGTAGGTTTGAGCATACAGAACAGGCCTGGGTGGGCTCAACTAGCTTGTATGACAAAAGTACAATCCCTCTTTGTTAAGGGGCTGTTTACAAACTTATCAGTCAGCCCAGTGTCTTGTGCCAATTAATCACACTACTCCCTAGAAAAGTTTGTTTTAAATTTCACTCATAGGAGAAGCCTAAAAGGAATAAACATTAGAGAAAAATGACCAAATCTAACTTTCTGCCTCAAAAAAAAAAGGAATATTGATCATGCTTTGTTACATAACAGTAAATTTATGATGAACCGTACATTTTTCAATGCAGACAACTGTATAAAAGATAGATATGAGAGTACTAGACAGAGATGAGCGGTCTAACAATTAGGTTCAAAAACTTGTTGCAACAATGTGGCTAAACTTTTTTCATACCAGAGGGATTATTCATTATGAATTTGCACCAACTGGACAAACAGTTAACCAAGTTTACTATTTGCAACTACTGAAAAGGCTGCGTGAAAAAGTTTGATGACCTGAACTTTTCCCCAACAATTCACGGCTCCTGCATCACGACAATGCACAGTTCACACGGCACTGTCAGTGAGGAGTTTTTAGCCAGTAAACAAATAACTGTATTGGAACACCCTCCCTACTCAACTGATCTGGCCCCTAATGACTTCTTTCTTTACCCAAAGATAAAGGAAATATTGAAAGGAAGACATTTTGATGACATTCAGGACACCAAGGGTAATACACGACAGCTCTGATGGCCACTCCAGGAAAAGAGTTCTAAAATTACTTCGAATGGTGGACTAGGCACTGGCATGGGTGCACAATTCCCCAAGGGGAGTACTTCAAAGGTAACCATAGTGATATTCAGCAATGAGGTATGTAGTTCTTTTGCTAGGATAAGTTAGCGAGCTTAATTGTCCGCCTTCGTAGTCCCATAACTTAAGACCGTTAGATTCTAAAGAAAGAAATGGAGCTGCACCCTTTAACATATCACTCAATTCAATTCAACTCAATGTTAGAGGATACGAAAGAAAAAAAGAATAGATATTTTCCCTTCCTTCAGTGAATCACAATCTAAAAGAGGTTCTCTCCAAGTTATGGGCAATGCTTGAAATCCAAAAATGTCTTAAAATAAACTCTTTAAATTGCTTTCATATATACATTTGGTGGCAAAATCAGTCCTGAACTTGAACTGGCTAGAGGCTCTACAGTCATTATTCTTGCATTGAATGTAAACATCCATGCATTCCAAGTTTCATTATGCGGTGAGGTCCCAAATCCCACTGGTGATGTGACATAATATATGACATAATGTAGTAGCTTTGGAATATACAAAGTATTCCTAGTTCCAAAATACATGTACCACAAGGATTTCATACAAAGGAATCTGAATAATCTCTGCTTAAAGAATAAAAAGGAGAATAGCTATACCAAGAGGTAAACTGCCTAAGGTAAAACCTGTATTGAAGAATGTTTTTCTATGCTTCTTAAATTTGTATTTGCTTAGAATCCTTGAATACTCCATAGTATGGAAACTTTAATATGACTTACATCATTGAGCTCTTGGAGAAGCAAGAAATAACACACAAAAAGCTTTTAAACAATGTCTGGCACTGTTTAAGTACCAATAAATGTTGTGTAATGGAAGTGCCTACAAAAAGACTTTGAACATTTACTAGGAAAAGGCCAACAGGTGAATATGTATCAGATCATTAGTCAGCTATATGCCAGACTATATGTGGGGATTTTATTTTTAAAAATCCAAGAGTTTTCTTTTTCCTATACCCAGAAGTATTTCTACTAGTAGGTCTCAGAGGTAGTATGAGCGCAAGTCATACCTGAGAGGCAGGTAGCAATCTCAGCTGAGCAAATGAGCACTTGAGCTGAGAGAACACAGGAGGACTTCAAGCTCACAGTGCAATAAAGATATGCTTTGGAAAAAAACAAACACTAAAAGACTGTGAAGAGCACTCTAGAGGAATGCTTCTGGAATTTCATGTACAGAAGAATCAGCCAAGTTTTTGTTAAAATGCAGACTTTAATTTAATGTGGTGGGGCCAGACATTCTGCATTCAAGTTCTCAGGTGATCGCCACACAGCTGGTCTAGAGGCCCACTGTGAGAATAGGGTAGCCCCAGAGCAGAGGTCCTCAAAGTGTGCAAACAATAGCAGAATCTCCTAGAAAGTTATTAGAAACGCAAATCCTAGAGCATAAGGAAGCTCTTGGAGATTGTTGACTAAATCAGCTGTTAACATCCAGCCAGACAGATTATTCTCCCTGAGAACAAAAGTAGAATCCTTTCTAAATACTTTAAAAATAAAGGGAGCACACTAGACCATGTGACTTAGATAAGAAAAATGATTCCTCTCTGTAGACAATTTCCAAAACTATAGCCCCTGTGATTACACTTAAAATGTAGGTTTTTATGTGATAAGAAGCCTGCTCTGATAACAAATAGGCACCAGTGTGTAAAATCCTCAGTTGAACCACTGAATAACTGTTCACAAAATAGATCATTCCCATTTTACCTAGGTGAGAGAGATATGACTTTGTAAAGAAACCAAAGTGAGTTTTATATTTCCTTGTGTTGAGAATGTAACACAACCACATCATGGTTTAGCCAACTTCTACAGAGTAATGTTTAAACATCGCCTAGCACATATGTAAATATATGTCAACATTTTGATTTATAACTATATGTGATCTGTTTACACACAGAGACATACAGATACACAAATTACAGTACATTAATGCTTGGAAATACAATATTCTTAAAAGACCAAAAAAAAATTCAGGGTGAACTATAAATATAAAATGTCATGACCAGAGAAAAGATTTCAGCTTTCTAAATGTGAAGCCAATTGATAGTTAAATAGGTTTCCCCCAAATTTTAAAATTAGCTGATGCGTGCATAATTCAGATTCAGTGTTTCTTTTCAACTTTGAAGTTTGAATTCCAAATTCACCTATCAATCAAAACTTGGACATGTAATTCTGTCCCTAATCTATCTTTGAAGGAGTCAGTTACTAACACCGTAAGGCACCATACTTGCTTCAGAATTGGGGGTAGAGCCCTCTGATTTTTGCTAGGACCATATACAGAGGACGCCAAAAACATGTATACACATTTTAAGAAAGGAAAACTATTAAAATGGTAATACTCAATATATACCGATAACAAAAGATGAATACAAGTCACATTTGACTTCTGCAATTACAAGGGTACTCAAAGTGGTTACCATCAGCATTCAGACACTTCTGACTATGGCAAACTACTGCTTGAGCAACGTTGACCAAAATGTCCACTTGTATACATTTTTTTGGCACCCCCAGTATTTGTCAGGAGACATTTGATGGTCACGTGGGGGGTGGGGTGAGAGTACTTCTGGCTTCTAGTGAGCAGAGGCTAGGCATGCTGCTCAATAGCCTACAATGCAGGAAACAGTCCCCTCAACAAAGAATTACCCAGCCTGAAATGCCAGTAGTACCAAGGTGAAGAAACCCTGACTTAAGCAATGGATGCTGCGAAATACACAGAATGAATGTCCCATGTGTGTCGATTATTACATTCCTAGCACAGTGTTAAGCACAGTAATAAATAGTTGCTGATTATTAAATAAACTGCCTCCATGTATCTGGGATCTTAGAGTCATAGTGATGAAAACAGTGAGATAAGGGTTATTACCTATGTAATATCCAAAATTACAAAACAAAATTACAGTCATTGTCATAACCAATAAGGAATTAAAAAATCATTTGGTCCACTTTATTCTTGGGAAAAAAAAAATTTTATACGGAAGGTGCTATCTAATGTACCAATACGAGTGAAGGAGGAAGGGGGGGGGCATTCAGTCCTCTTAATAGTAAAAGTAAAATATAATATCTTTATACATTTATTGAAATACACTTTTACTTCTGATAGTGCCAGTATCCCATACTTTTCTCAAACAAAGCATTTCCTTTATAAAAAGTAAAACCAATATAACATAAATCATAATATTTCACAAGCAGGAAATAAAACAAAACATAATTATTTTTCAAAAAAGAAAATCACAGACTTCCATGGCCTACAGGCATTCATACTTCTGAGGATTCTGGGACTTAACAAGTCATGAGAAATTCTGAACTGGCTTACGTTTTTGAAACACAAGAGCTAAGAGTAACAAGGCCAAACGTACCCTTAATAATCGATTCAGCAGCATACAGATCTCGTTTGTAGGTCACCTAAAGGACAGATAAACCTCATTAGACTTAACAGAGCAGGAAGGAATGCGAAAGCAATATAATTATGCCCCCAAGGAAATTCTTGATTCTGGGGAAACTATAAACACGTAATACTGACAATTTCTAAATTATAGCAACATCAGCACATTCAAAATAATGGATTCTATTTCTACAAATGGTTGAAGATTTGTTTTTAACATCTTTAAATAAACTGACATATTATATGGCAGCATTTACCAAAATCTTATTAATGTAACTGAAGTGCTATGTCAAAGAAAATGTGGTAGTGTTTAAAAGTATTAGCATTATTGCTTAATAGGAAGGTTTTATGTAGAAAGGAAGGAAAGGTAAGTATAACAAAAATCACCAAATTTCATTTCTAGTTAACTAGATATCTGAAATCAGGACTTAATATTTGCAATTTAAGTGAGAAAATGCTTTTTTTCTATAATTCTCTGCTGTGTAGGTTAAACTTGGGAAGACGGCTAATTGCTATAATTCCTTTTTTATCCCTTCCTGCTTTCTTTGAGGGGTAATACTGCTGCATTCCAAATTAAAATAGAATTGTGCAAATACTTTTTTTTTCAAATAAATCTTGATGGGTTTCTAAAGTTAAGGAAAACTTGGTCTCAAATACTAAAATGTTTTTTTTCTAGCATATTTGCAAGACTTAAAATTTTTGGATCAGAGTCACTTTTAAATAAAATATATTTTTTTATTACCTAAAGGTCCTTTCTCCACTCGTATTAAATTATTAACTGTATAAACAAGAAAGACTCATACATTTCCCATTTTTTCTTGTACGCTGTGGATAGCTACCATATACTGATTAAAGCCTTTGATTTTTATTAGTATCTTCTACATAAGCCTTACTGAATACCTCAACTATTGGGTCATCGGGAAAGTCTTGATGTAGTTTTCTATGTTTTTCAAAGCAAAAATGCATTATGACTTTCCCAACAACCCAGTACAATTCTCAAACACTAATTTAATAAATATAAACTACAAAATATTTTTTACAAGCTTGTAAAATTTGTTTTAAACTTGTGTTTAAAACAGCCTTATTAATTTTTTTTTCTTTGTAAATAAAACACTTTACATACATCAGAGGGAACAGTAATGGAAAATGTAGCTCTGAATTGATAAATTACTTTTTCGGTCAAAATCTTATATAATATGGGAAGCTTTTTCTTATTTTTAATTTCAAAAACAGTTTAGTAATCAGTTTTGAAGTTGATTTTCTTCTGTCAGCAAGATCTGCAGTTTTTCTTTGACCGTACACAACACATTATGGAAAACACTTTAAAATAAATAAATAAATAACTCTGTAGAGATGGAAGAGAGCCTCAATCCTCTGATTTCCATGTTTTCACACTGTGCCATTTGAGCCTCAGGGGCCACACGGAGACCAGGGCAGGTGCTCTGTGCAGCTGAGACTCCAAGCCCACATCTGCCACTCAACTAGTTAAGCTCAATTTCTGTCTGTTTTCTTTGATTGTGCTTCTGTGAAATATTTCATGTGAATAAAATGTTTAGCTAACATATAGACATATAGAGATAGGGATAGGGATAGGGATGGAGGGAAGAAGAGAGAGAGAAAGACAGGGAGAGGGAGGGAGAGAGGGAGAGGAGGAGAAGGAGAGAGGGAGAGGAGAGGAAGGGAGGGAAGGAGGGAGAGAGAGAGAGAGATTTTTTCTTTTCAATGAAAGAGAAACCTGAAACTGAGAGCCACAGAGATAATTGTCCTCCAACTCCTAGAGCAGGGCTCTCTCAACTACCTCAAGATGAGTTCCAGAAAACACTGTTACACTTACTTTTTGTTGTTCCATCTCTGTTGACACTCAACACCATAAATTATAGACTTTTCAGAGCCAAGTCCACTTGGCCACCATCTTATATAAGTCACACTATACTTAACTGTTCTCCCATCTTTTACCTTATGAGAAAATGAGTATGTAACTCCAATAATTAAAGGCCAGAAAATCTTAAATTTTAAAGATATAAAATGTTTATTAAGTACAAATTTAGATTGGGGGTGATTTATTATATTTATTTCCATTTCATAAATTATATCTATGTAGAAAATATTCTTTCCTCTAGACTGCATAACTAGATGAAAACCTCTAAAAAGAAACAATGCCACCATATTTTATTTTTGAGGTTAAAAAGCAAAAAGTGAGACTATTTTGTTTCTTTTGTTCTTAACAAAGATGCTAAAATACTTGGATCTAAAAAGTCAGCCTCAAAAAATAGAAATCTTCAAAAGTCAGCCATTCCAATAATGGTGTGATGATTCAAACACTTCAGAAACTCCTTCTGAAGAAGCATTTTCAGACAATGGGACACAGTTAAATTTCTTAAATAACTGGTTATAAATCTTTGATAAATCTTTCATGCCTTGATGATGGTTTTCACAATTTAGAAACAAGAAGTCTGTTCAATTTAGAAAAAAAAGTCTGTATGTGTAGTAAGTGACCAAGTATTTAATTATATTGGGACAAAACCTACAAATTAAATAAATGGAAGTTTTTCTGTAAACCAGATGAAATTTCACCAAAGTTAGTATGTACCCAATAAGGCCTGGCAAGGCACCACCACTCAGGGAAATCACAAGAGCTGATCCCTCTCCCTGGGAGGCGGTCCTGTACTCCTCTATGCTTGGTCACCATTTAGCAAAGGGTGCTGGTTATTATTCATGGGGATGTCCTCTACTCTCCATGGTGATTTGGAAGAAAAAAAAAAGTTTCCTCCAGGCCCCAGTAGAGCTTTGGTTTAAAAGCAATTTTAATACTTTTTATCCTTACAAAATGGTAAGGCCACAAATTAAATTAGAAGCCTATACTAAAGACAGCTCGATGCCATCAAAAGAGGTTAAATAGGGTTAAATAAATATCTAGGAAAACATCAAGAATATAAAGGTAGGAAGGTGATGAGACTGGAGGCAGAAGAAGGAATGAGGGAACCTGGAACAACTGTAATATTTGCACTCAAAATCATTTCATCTCATTCAACAGAAGAAATGTGGTGCCCAAAGAAACATCTCGTCACTGTCACGTGAAAGACTTTTTGCCCAATCCACTGCGTTACATGCCCCTTTGGACTCCAAGATCCCGTTGAGGCACATCATTATTCAAACATCCTTCAAAAGAGTGGGGATTCCCCTCGCCCTCCCAGTTTGGAAAGTAATACTAGGAAGGTGACCCTTCTGGGACTAAGACCATGTCGCCCTGTGGCATGTGTACTCATTTCCTACGGCTGCCCAAACAACTGCACACTGGATGGCTTAAAACAACAGAAATGTATTCTCTCGTAGCACTGGAGGCTAGAAGTTTGAAATCCAGGTGTCTGCAGGGCCTTTCCCCCCTTGGGAGTGTTTAGAGAAGAATCCATTCTGGCCTTGTCTTAGCTTCTTGTGGTTGTTGGCCATACTTTGCTCTGCTTTGCCTGTAGATGGATCACTCTGTTCTCTGCCTCCATCATCACTGGCTTCTTCCATTATCTGTGTCTGGATCTCCTCTCCTATTCTCATAGGCTGGATTTAGGGCCTGCTCTACACCAGTATGACCTCATCTTAACTTGATTAGATCGGCAAAGACTTTTCAAAGTCACATTCACGGGTGCCAGGGATGAGGACTTCTGGTGGGGACCAATTCAACCCACAACAGCACGCATGAAAATGATGCCACAGGGGAACGAAGAGAAGCACTGGGAACGGGCAGTCGGTGCCTCAGTGCACTGGCATTTATTGTACATAAAAGGGAAGCAGAGGGCCAAGCTGTGAGTGCTAATTCTGTGCTGCTGGAGGAAGCAGCGAAATATGAGATTTCACCCCTCCCCCCCAAAAAAATATTGAAACGAATTTGTGAAGATGAAGTGGGAAATTCAAAGAGTACTGTGCAGCTTTCCTTGTGTCTGCAGATCTCAGGATGCCTTTCAAGTTTGCAAAAGGCTCAGGATACCCACAAGAGGTAGATAATCACAGACCCTAAGACGTCGGTATTGCAGCCAGAAAGTGGTGACATGTTAATCGCAATATAACATCTCAGAGTTTCCATTTTGTTTTACGTAGCCTGCAAACTAAGTCTAGCAGAGTCAAAGAGAGTTCTGCAGAAATGTGAGTCTGGATCCTTAACAAAACACCTAATTGGTAATGGCCCAAATCCTCACAATGAATATTGTATATCGCCATCTGAGCCATATATAGAAAAGAATAAACAAAATGAATAAAATGTTTGCCTACTGACTGATGACATTCTGGATATTCTTAAGAGAGCAATAATACTGCATGAATTTTCTCTACTGGGCAATAATTGAGGCATGTCAATATTTTGTAATCTTAGAACAATTTATGTATGTATGAGATGATCTCAGCATACAGCAAGGCCCATCATGTTACTGTGCAAAATATCTAATCAACTCATAGGGCTTCCTGTTTTGTTTTTAAGTCAGTGAGGAACTATGCTTTGGGGTTCATATAATCTTAGAGTAAGGAAGAATTTTTACTAATCAGATTTAGGTGGATGCATTATAAAGATTTCATCCAGTATTTCAAAAACAGCAATATACTTACTTCAAAATTATGCAATGACCTTACAATTCTATTTCAAAATATTATTGTCCAATTCAACACATTCCTACCTAACGAAACTAAGGAGTGTCACACTGTAAAACACCCCCTGGCTCAAGGAACTTACAGTATGATAATTCTACAACCACTTCATTTTCTCCCCAAAGAAAGAAGTTTATCATTAGAAGAGTCAAATCTTACTAGGAAGAATCCTAGTCATCAATGAGGGCAATGAGGCCAGCTACCCAATCCACATGGTCGGAACTATGCAGATATTCTTTCAACTCAGTTGGAGCTCCCACCCCAGGGCTTGGAAAGAAATGCTGCTGTTGTGGAAAGCAGTGTTGTATCCTCAATCCACTTAAGTGCACGACAGCAGAGTAACTGGTTATATGCAGAGTTCAAGGACAAAATTGTGAACAATATATTGGCTAAGTGGAATTTGTTTGAATAAGTTATGTTGAAGTGAATTTCCTTGAAACCCAGCAATAAAAATCATACCATACTTTGATGTCTTAGAAAACCCAGTGAGACCCTTTTAACTCTTTAAATATTATGGACACACACACAAACATACCTTTGTCTCCTAAAAATATTGTTTCTCCTAGACAAAGGAGAAATACCTTTGTCTCCAAAAAATATTGTTTCAGTATGAAACCAAGTGCTTCTATACTACTTCTCCATTTTCTGAAGGGCCTGGAAAGTATTTCAGCTTGTAGAATATGTCTTTAAGAATGACATAAGCACAGACGAGACCCAGAGCAAAGTACCAGCTCCATTACCTTCCAGAGATCAGGTGATCCTTCCACAAGTTTGGCTTTAATGTGACAGTATTTTAGAGCCAAATGCAAACACTCAGTTCCAAATTCAAGGTCATAGTCACTACACTGGGTAGGAAAAAAAGAAAAGAAATTAACACGTTAAAATATAATTTTAAATAAAACTAAATCATTTACTTAATACTCAATTGTATACACAAAAAAGAAGGCCCTAGAGAATGTGCAAGCTCTTTAATTAGCTATCAATCAAGTTACAAAATAATTTTCCCTATGCCCTAAAAGCCAGAAGAAAATAGGAATGTTGCAATCCTAGTTTTGAACTTCCTCAACAGTTTCAGGTGTCAGATAAATGTCACACTTTATTTCCTCCGCTCATCAGCTACCTTTCCAAATATGTTTCTAAAATGCCTGAAGGTACCGCTGAGGATTACCATATCAGGATTTGATTTAACAAATATATATATTCATAAAACTCCAAATCCCCTATCTTACATTTATATCAATTTATATTTGCAGGTCATAGCTCTCTTATTCACCTTAATATCTTAAGTATCAATATATCCTTTTAAAGGATTTATGTTTTGATTAGGAACATGGAAACCGTTCAGTCTTTCATTATGAGAAAAATGTAAAAGCTTCTCATAGATTTAGTAAAATATAAACAACATTTTAAAGCATTTTAAGAAGAACCACACCAACATAATATAATTCAGATGAATAATACTGATTGCCTATTGTTCCCAAGCTTTGTATTAAGTACCAGGATAAATGAGACATGTGTTGTGTCCTCAAGGAGCTCAAGTCTAGAAGGGGAGGCAGATGTATAACAAATATTTTGCAATAGAATGTGACAGATGCAGCAATAGACGAGTACCTAGAAGTAGATAAGGGAATAACATACTTAATTATATGTGACAGCAGCAGGGAAAGGCGCAAAGGAAATGGTCTCTGATTTCAGGGTTTTTTATTTTTTTAATAATGCATTTTATTTAACACAATATATTTCATTTTAAGACTGAATAAAATTGGTGGACAGGGATACCCTTCAGGCAAAGGCACCATACAAAGATACAGAGGTTTTAGACATCTGGTAGCTTTGCATTTTAGAAACAGTACATCCATGTGAGAAAGACAGCTAGAAGGCAACAAATACGATTATGACATTTAGCATCCTTTGCCAATGCTGTTTTATCATACAGGACGTTTCAAAACCCTAACTATATTTGTTCATGAAGTTAATGGACAAGAAAATATAACCATCCATTATACACAGAGTCCCAAATTAACCAGAACAGTCTGTGATTCAATCTTCTACCCTGATGTACTACATACCATGACATATTTCTTATTTTCATTTTTAATACACTATTATGAGCAGTAGTTACATTCAAATAAATTAAGATGAATTTTGGTCAACCTCCACTTTGTAGTTCCCAAATCTGCACACTCTCATCTAGGTGTACGTGAGACACGTGTACAGTAAACAGAGTTTTCTCTTTGACACACAGTTAAATCCCAAAGATGGCTAGCAAGCGCCCTAGTCCTGGCTCTTTCCAGAGACAAGATATTGAACACATCCATGGAGGAGCCTTGAAAGTGCTCACAAAGTGCATATTGAGAGGAGCCCATAAGAACAGCTAGTTCCTTCCCGTCTCAGCCGGTGGGGTAAGAGTACTACTACTTGATGCTGCGCTCCTGCCAGCCATGTGACGGACCAGCCAAGATGGCAACGGCCCGTGAGCTGCATAAAGTCTTTGGGATTCCAGTCACCACGGTCAATGGGAAGCAAGGAAAATTATGGGTCACGTATATATGAAATAAATACCAGAAACAGAGACTGAGCAATCGGCAGAAAGAGCTGTCTGAATTTAACATTCATTGTATGGACTAATATTGCAACTACATAGGGAGGTTTTGGTCATTTTTTTGGCAACAAAACCTTGCTTTTGCAGTAAGTTCAAAAAATTCATGTTTAATGGCAAAGGAAATTCTGAATTCCTGTTTCTCCAGACCATTGATGATGATTTCTACTTTTGTCTAGGGTATGGAAAGCTGGAAAAATTAGGCTCGCTTCTGAACCAAAGAAAAAGCAGATAAACTTTTTCCTGAACTGAGGTCACAGGAAGATCAGTAAGCATTAAATCTAAAAAAGCCATGCCTCCTCCCAGGAGAAAGAGGATGCTATCACCGGCTCAACGACAGCAGAACACAAAAGGAAAAGACTGGGTGCCATACAGGCAGGTAAGAAATCAGCTAAAAATTTCAACGAATTGCTAAATATTGAGTGGAGGCAACTAGGAGAATATAGAACCTCTGGAAGCCACACTCATCACAGGAGTTTAGAACCACTTGCAGTCTCCTCTTCAGCAAACTGCTACTGGGTGCTCATGAACTGGTATAATATTGTTTTGAAGGTCATTGTGATTAGATGTACAAGTATATACTAAACTCGAGGCAAACATGAAACAGACATCTTAAAGATAAAAATAAGAACTGAATAATGATAAGATAGAATCATAAAAACTAAGAAATTAATACAAGGGCAGGCAGAAAAAGAGAAAAAGAACAGACGGAACAAACAGCAATTAATCAGCAAGATGGTAGATTTTAATTAAAAAGTTAATGAACATGTAATTGCATAAAATGTCAACATTTATTATCCAGCACGGGGGTCACAGTGATATTACTCGTCACATCACATGCACACACACACATACACACAAACACTCAGAACTTTATGCCTCTCTAAACTTGGAGCCCAAAATAGTGTAGAACTATGTTCTCCCCAGGGAGAAGTCCTGAGGACACTATAGTCAGAGGTCCCCAAAGCATCATCTATCCCAGTCATGTTATAGTGCAGCTCGCATCAACCATCCCCATCTACAGCACCCACCAAGTCCAACCAATCTCCAACACATAAAAAGAGCAGAAAGCCCAGATTTAATGGAAACCCAAGGAAAACCTCAAACATGAAAGATAGATTAAAAAAGAAAAAAGAAGTATTTTGGAAGAACTAGAAACTATGCAGTTAAAAAATAAGAATTAATAAGCCCAGAATAATAAAGTATTTATACTTATAAAATACGACAGGATAATATAATATTTAAAAGGCTGGAAAACAAATAGGAGAGAAAAGAATAACCAATGACAACCACAATGTCCAATATGGAAAAAACTAAAAAATACAGAAGGAAAGAACAGAAAAGGGTAGGACAAGGAAACAACCAAATCAAAAAAAAAAAAATTTGCAGTAATGAAGAAAACGAGTTTCCAAATTAAAAATTCTTATGAAATAAAGAAGCTAATAGATGAAAATACACCAAGCCCAATTAACAGCAACAACAAAAAGTCTCTTATAAAGAAGCAAAAATCCAAAGTGGTCGAGACTTCTTAATAGCCACAACAAAAATTAGAAAAACAATGAAACAGTTTCTTCATAATTTCGAAGGTAATGATTGTCAACAGAAAACTATGGCCCCAGAAAAACTATATATCATGTTTGAGGACAGAATATGAACTTTTATGAACATTGAAGGTCGCAACAGAATTTTAATTCCTTTGGGCTCTTTTTTTATTGTGTTTTTTAATAGACTTTGAGACGGGGGCATTTTGGTTCACAGCACAATAGAGCAGAAGATACAGATATTTTCCATATACCCCATACCCCACATACTCACAGCCTCCAGAGTGGGACATTTGTTAAAACTGATGAACCTGCACTAATAAATTATTATCACCCAAAGCCCTCAGTGTGCAATAGTGTTCACTTTTAGTGTTTTACAGACTATAGGTTGTCACAAATGTATAACAGTATGTATCCATCATTATGGTATCATACAGAGAGTATTTTCACTGTCTAAAAATTCTCTGTGTTCCTCCTATTCATCCCCAATCTGTCCCAATCCTCAGCAACCACTCAACTTTTTCCTATCTCCATAGATCAGCCATTTCCGTGAATCATATACTTGGAATCATACAGTACATAGTATGTATGTATTTTATGTATTATAAGACATAAAACTTATCAATGTATATGCTCACAATCAGGGAGCACTAAAATATACAAAGCAACTACTAACAGAGCTAAAGGAAGAAACTGACAAAAACACAATTATAGTAGAGTACCTAAATACACCATTGACAGCTATGGATAGATCACTGAAATAGAAAATCAATAAGGAAATATCAGCCTTAAATGACACATTAGATGGACATAACTGACATTTACAGAGCTTTTCATCCCAGAACACCAGACTATACATTCTTTTCTAGGGCACATAAACATTCTCAAGGATAGACTAAATTTACTGAGTCTAGTTTTAGGACACAAAACTAGACTCAGTAAATTTAAGAAGACTGAAATAATACCAACCATATTCTCCAATCACAATGCTTTGAAATTGGAGATTAACTGCAGAGAATGTGGGGAAAACCATGAATACATGGAGATTAAACAAAATGCTACTAAAGAAAAATGGAGTCAAAGAAGAAATAAAAGGGGAGACAAAAACATACAAACAAATGAGAATAAAAATATATTGTGTATTACAATTTTAATAGTTCTATCCTTTCTTAAAATGTGTATACATTTTTTGGCACCCTCTGTGTGTGTGTGTGTGTGTGTGTGTGTGTAATATATATACCATAAAACATAAAATGGAGAAAAAGCCTTTTAAATAAATAGTGCTGTGGAAATTGAAAAGCCACATCCAAAAGAATGAAACTAGACTGCTGTCACCATATACCAAAATTAACTCAAAATGGATCAAAGACCTAAACATAAGACCTGAAACAATAAATTCCATGGAGAAAAGCATAGGTACTAAACTTATGGACCTTGCATTCAGGGAGGTATTTATGAATTTGACCTCAAAGGCAAGGGAAGTAAAGCAAAAATAAATGATTGGGACTATATCAAACTGAAAAGCTTCTGCACAACAAAAAATACCCTCAACAAAACAAAGAGGCAACCAACCAAATGGGAGAAGATATTTGCAAATAACGCTTTTGATAAGGGGCTGATACCCAAAATATGTAAAGAACATGTACAACTTAACAACAACAAAAAACAAACAATCCAATTAGAAAATTGGCAGATGTCTTGAACA